ATGCTCAACATCACTAATCATCAGAGAAATGCAAATGAAAACCACAATGAGGTATCACCTCACATCTGTCAGAATGGCTATCATCAATAAACCAGCAAATAACAAGTGCTCACTAGGATATGGAGAAAAGGGAACACTCGTGCACTGTTAGTGGGAAAGTAAATTGGTGCAGCCACTATGATAAACAGTATGGAGAGTCCTCAAAAAAATAAAAATAGAGCCGCCATATGACCCAGCAATACTACTTCTGGGTATTTATCCAAAGAAAACAAAAACACTAATTCAAAAAGATACGTGCACCCTTAATGTTCACTGCAGCATTGTTTACAATTGCCAAGACATGGAAGCAATCTAAGTGTCCATCAACAGACAATTGGATAACGATGTGGTACATATATACAATGGAATATTACTCGGCCATAAAAAAAAGAATGAAATCTTGCCATTTGCAACAACATGGATGGACCTAGAGGATATTGTGCTAAGTGAAATAAGTCAGATAGAGAAAGACAAATACCATGTGATTTCACTTACATGTGAAATAAAAAATTAAACCCATAGAAACAGATCCATAGATACAGAGAATAAGTTGATGGTTGGTTGCCAAAGGGGAGTGGATTTGGGTTGGGTAAAAGAAGAAAAAAAATAATAAAATGGTTAAAATGGTAAATTTTACGTATATTTTACCACAATAAAAAATAATTTTAAAATTGAGTTCACACTGATATTTCCAGTTTGACTTTAATGTCTTACAGGGCTTTTACTATATCTGTGTGATTGTGTGATATTTGGCTGTGATATTTGGCTCCTAATAATATTAATATAACTTATTTACTTTATTCTATGATACTATATACAGAGGGTGCCATCACATGTATACACATTTTAAGAAAGGAAAACTGTAGGGCCAGCAGAGTGGCTCAGTTGGTTAAGAGTTAGCTTAAGAGCGCGAGCTCTGAGCAACAGGGCCGCCGGTTTGATTCTCACATGAGCCAGTGACACTGCGCTTGAGCTGAGCTGCCGCTGAGCTGCCAACAGGTGGCAGGATGGCTCAGCTGGTGAGAGCACGTGCTCCTAACAACAAGACTACCTGTTCAATGGTGGGCTACACCTGCCAGCAACTAAGACTGAATTCGGCATCTTGAACTGAGCTGCTGGCTGGGTAGCTCAATGCATAGAGCATGCGCTCTTAACAACAAGGCTGCTGGTTCAACTCTTGCATGGGATGGTGGCTACGCCCACCCGCAACTAAGATTGTAACACAGCACCTTGAGCTTAGCGGCCACGAGCTGCTGATGGGCAGCCAGACGGCAACTAGCGCCCTCCACAACTAAGATTGAAGAACAATAACTTGACTGGTCCCCCTCCCCAATTCCCCAACACTGTTTCCCTCTCCCAAATCCCCAATTAAAAAAAAAGAAAAGAAAAACTGTATTAAAATTGTAATACTCAATATATACCAATAACAAAAGATAAATACAAGTCATGTTTGACTTCTCTTTTTGTTTTTTTTTTGTTTTAGCTGAGCCATCCTGCCACCTGTTGGCAGCTCAGCAGCTGCTCAGCTCGGGCTGGGGCTCGAACCGCTGTTGCTCAGAGCTTGCACTCTTGAGTGAGCTCTTAACCAACTGAGCCACTCGGCCAGTCCATGTTTGACTTCTCAATTACAAGAGATGCTCAAAGTGGTTACCATCAACATAATTTTAATAGTTTTTTTCCTTTCTTAAAATGTGTATACATTTTTTTGGCACCCTCTGTAGCTTCAAATAATAATATCAATATTATAATAAATCCACTGAATGAAGTTTACAATTTCCTTGTAGTTCTTTTTGTCCACAGACTATCTCCTATGAATGATAGTATACGGAGTTCTAAAGAAATTTGAAATAATTCTTTCTCTGGTGGTGATCTTATCAATTTGATATATAGTTAGGTCTATTTGATTTCTCTTCAACTTTAGGGTTTGATTTTACCTTTTTTCATTTAATTTTATTTTGTGATAAGGGAAATACATAATGAATCACATACTGACATGTTTGCTGTTGAAAAGCTGGAATAGAATGTAGCCTTCAAATGCCACCAGGAATCCAATGAGAAAAATAAGCTATGACTTTACTTGGTAACAGAGTGATCTCTATCCAGGGTCTGCTTGAAGCCCCAGTGCCTCTCTGACACTCCAAGGTCCCCTTGACTACCTGTCAACCTCCAGTGTGATGAACAGGCTGGGAACCAGCTCAGCTGTCACTAACAACCGCCTTCCTTTCACACTGCAGCTTAGAGATGACCTATTGCTCTCTTTTAAAACGGGATGTTGCTCATGAACCAATATTTATCATCCTAATAATGAGACCACTTCATAAACCAGTCTGTCCCAAACCCAATAAAGGCAGCTGGAAGATGGGATAAGACAGGAAAAGGCCATAGAGTAGCAGGCTGGATCCTTTACTGCCTCCAGGCCCATCTACCATTCTTTCAGCAACACTCACTGAACATCCAGTGTGACAGGCTGCCTGCCTCCTGGAGCTGGGAGGAGAACAGAGCTCACTTTCTTCAAGAAAGACAGGCTCTGAACACACAGAGTGACCCAGAAGCCCAAAAAACAGAGCATCAACTAGCTGCTCCTCTTCATATTCAAAGAAGAGAGAGGGTTCCCGAGGGAGCCAAGACAAGGAAATTCCAGGCAGAGGCAGCAGAACGTGAGACGGCACCAGACACGAGACAGCTGGTATGTCTGGGGAATGCCAAGAAGCCCAGTGTGTGAGCCTGGGAGAGGAGAGGGAAGGGGAGGGGTCAGATCACGACAGCCTGGCAGAAATTTTTAGACTCTATGCTGAAGGCATAGGGGAGAAGAGTTTTAATTGAGGAAAGGATAAGAATCTTAACTGGGTCACAGACGGACAGGCCACGAGCCCCAGAGATGGATACTGACCCTAGTTATCCAGCCTGTTGTCCTGGTTGTACCTGAGGAAGGTGGGGCTGATCACCAGAGCCTGGGGAAGAAGGGGGAGGGGGCCTACGTGGGGCCCTTCCCACAGCACCCCACAGCCACATCTTACTCCCTCGCATACCCTTACCTGGTCTTTGCTATCTTCCATTCCACTAGGGAGCTGGATCATCTCCTGAAATCTGCGAATGAATGAGGAGGTGGGGGAGTTTCAGCAGCCCCTGAGACCTCAGAAGCTGTAGGAAGGTCCTGCAGGTGCCCCCAATAAGCAAGGAGAGGGTCTCCCTGGAGCCCCCTCTGTCTTCTCCGGCAGTGACCTCCTCTCACCCCCATACTAAGAATGCCTGGGTTTCCAGACCATCACCTCCTCACTCAGAGCATCTGAAGTCCATGCCAGGCCGGAAAGCTTCAGGACAAGTGGCAGCAGCTGTCTCCAGGAGCCCTGGGCCCCAGCATTCCTGCGGCACATGAAGCGTCCCGTGGTTTGGTTCCCTACCATCTTGAAGCCCTGAACAGGGGCCTGGTTCATCCTGGGAAGGGATCCAGAAACTGACAGAACTCTGGGGACAGGCCTGGATCTTCCTGCTCCCTGCCCTCTCCTCAGCGCCCGCCTGAAGACTGTGCTGTGCTGAGTGACGTTGTGCCCGAGGCTGGAGGTTCGCAGGATCTTCAAGTTCCCCACCAGCGCACAAGTCCCACAGTGGAGAGCAGAATGTCTCACCGAGGGTCCGGAAATCACCTTGAAAAACTTCTCCCACACTTCGCCCAACTCGCTTGCTGAGCTCATGCCCTAGAAACAGCCGAAGGGAGGAGATTGGGTGCTGGGACCCAGGTTATCAGCACCCAACAGGACAGAAGACCTGGGTTGGTGAGAGCTCCATCTGGAGGTCAGGGGCTGAGACTATGAAGATGGGAGGTGCACTAAGCCAGGGCCAAGGGCAGGGGTTTGGGCCAGAAAGTGGGAAATGGGCTAGGCCTAGGAAGGACAGGGGGTGAGATTGAGCCCAGTGTTGACCACTGCCCAACCACCAGAACACAGCATTGGGGTCATGGACTCCATTGCCCCCATCAGGTATCCCATCATCCATCATCTCATAGCATGCATCAAACCAGTTCTGTTCTCTGACTGTGTGATGGCAGAGGGTGTAGTTGAGGGTCCCAGATGGGCAGCCAAACTTTCTGAATTTGAACCAAAGACAGTTGCAATGCCATGGTACCGAGTATGTCAGCTTTTCTTGGGGTTCCGATTCAGGTTTCCACTCTAGGCCGGGGGCCATCAGCCACACGATGAAACCCCAGAATCCCCACAGGACAAAAATCTGCCATAAGCACTTCATATCTGGTCCAGGTGATGGTTTCTGTGGCAGGCAGCAGACTGGATTCTTTACCTGGGACCGGGAAGTAAGAGGTATGAGGCCACAAACAACCCCACAACGCTCTGTCCTATTTGTTTCCATGGCTCCCCAACCCTCCACCCCACATGTCCTCCCAAGTCCTCACCTCCTGCCTGCCTCTCCATTTGCTTACCTCCAAAGGAGAACCTGGCTGGGCCTGCGATGGAAGGTGCAAGAGCAGAAAAATAATATATAATGTGTCCTGTCTCCTCCCGCAGGAGGAAAGCTAGGCTCTCCGTCGGGTCCTCCGTGCCACCCAGTTATATCCTAGACCTCATCACACAGTACACATTATGACCTCCTTCCTTTAGCCCGCCTGGGCAAAGCCACCACCACCATGGCCTGGGTATAATGTACAGTCTGCCTACACAGAATGTAAGATCCACAAAGATAGGGACCAACCTTGTCTGTCTTCTTTACTTCTGCATCCCTAAGAGTTAGAATCATTTAATACATATTTATGGGATACATGAACAGAGTTGAGAGGGAACTTAAATACTATTTACGTGTGATGTCCCTTCTCCAACTGTATAACTTTGGCTCAGACCTCTTTTCTATTCTCTACACCCCATATCCTATGCCTATTGGACTTCCACTAAGATGTCTCAGAGACCTCTCACGCTGAACAAGCCTGAGACTGAACTCATGATTTTCCCTTTAAACCAATTCCTTCCCAAGGCCTCTCAATCTCGATAAATGGTCCCACCATTCACCCAGCTGCAGAAGCCAGGAGCCCACGTGCTATCCTTGATTTCTCCCTCTTCTATAATTTCCAAATCCATTTTTTAATCCATTTGCTTCTATCTCCAAATCACCTTCTNTGAGCTGCTGCTGAGCTGCCAACAGGTGGCAGGATGGCTCAGCTAAAAACAAAACAAAAACAAAAACAAAACAAAAAAGAAACAACTGCGTGCACATGGTTAAAATATTGAGTAGAGAAGAAGGCAGCAGTGTCCCATCTCATTCTTTTCCAACCTCTCTCCAGGAACAACCAATTTTTTAAAACTCTTTTATTTTTTGTAGTGGGTAACTTTATTCCTCTAAATAATATTGTATATGAAGCCATAATGGATTCAGTTTCTGGAACAAGATGGTGAGGGATAGCTGTACTGGCCACACCTTTGGGGGTTCTTGGAATCTGGCTTCAAACCAGACACCAGTACACCTCAGTGCCCTTGGGCAGGCGGTAATGTGCTCTCAGTTGTATGAGGGATGTTTGCATTTTGTTAGGTTGTACATGTTTGTTGCATGTAGTGGATGTTTCAGTAGATACCCCAGCCACTGAAAACCCTCATTAACTGAGGCTATTTGGTTACCTTAAACTATTGTTTCTACCAACAAGGCAGGATAAATGGTCCCCCCTCCAGTTGATATAATAAGTCTCCTCCAATGAAATGTTTTTATTTCTCTTTGAGTATCATCATGGGTTCAAGGATTTTTATATATTCACTATGATTCAGTCATGACAACTGACATTTGTGATGCTCGTATGGCCCCAACTTTGATGTCCAGGTTATCCTTGTACTTTTCTTGTCCAAACCTGGAATCTTTTAGTGAAAAAAAAATATTTAGAAAATAAAAGGTGAGTTCTGGGGTTGATCATTGCTACTGGGTTGGTATGACCTTTAGACTGTTCAAGATGACAGAACAGAAAATGTACTTTGAAGATTGTAAGGTAGTGATGGTTGCATAACAATGTCATACTTAATGCCACGGAACTGTACACTTATGCTAGAAAAGCTAATCCTGGAATGTATACGGAACCACAGAAGTCCCCCAAATAGCCAAAGAAATCTTGAAAAAGAACAAAGTGGGAGGTACCACACTTCCTAATTTCAAACTACACTACAAACCTACAATAATCAAAACAGATATATATATATATATATATATATATATATATCTGTTTATGATTTATTCCAGTGATATATACATCACTGGAATAGAATGCCCAGAAATAAATCCTCACTTATATGCTCAATTACTGTATGATAAAGGAGGCAAGTATATACAGTGGGGTGAAGACAGACTTTTCAATAAGTGTTGTTGGGGAAACTGGACAGATACATGCAGAAAAGAAAAAAGAGAATGGAAGGGAAAGGAAGGGAAGATAAGAAAAGAAAAAAAGAGAAACTGAACCACTTTCTTACATCATATAAAAATTAAACTCTAAATAGATTGAAGACTAAAATGTAAGACTTGAAACCATAAAACTCCTAGAAGAAACATAGGCAGTAAACCCTTTTATGTCGGACATAGCAATATCTTTTTGGATATGTTTCCTTGGGCAAGGGCAACAAAGCAAAAATAATGCGACTACATCAGATTAAAAAGTTTTTGTACAGCAAAGGAAACCATCAAT